CTCGTCCTTATCCTCATCATCATCTTTCTTAGTATCATCCTTATCAGTATATTCATTGCTCGCAGCATGATCACCATCAGCAGCAGCGTCGTCGCCATCAACATCAGCAGAAGCATCCTCGTGGTCATCATCAGCACCATCACAGCATCATAAATCATCATCGTCGTCCTCGCCGTCATCATCTTCATCATCACCATCATGGTCATCAGCATCATCGTCACCATCTTCTTCATCATCATCGTAATCGTAAGCCTCATTATCGTCATCGGCATCGTCATCATCATCACCCTCTTCATCGCATGACGAAAATGTTAATCCTCCCTCTCATCCTCGTCATCATCATCTTGTTCATAATCACCCGTATCATCATAATCATTGCTCGCGCGATGATCACCATCATCAGCATCGTCGACGTCATCAGCATCAAATAATTATCCTCGTGGTCATCTTCAGCATAGTCACATCATTACAAGTCAGCATTAGCATCATACTTGGTATTACCACTATCATCATCATAAGCATCATCATCATCATCACCATCACCACCACCACCATTCTCATCATCACCATCATCATCGCCATCACCTCCATCATCTCCATCAGTAGCATTAACATCATTTACATCATCAGCATCCTCATTATCATCACCATTATCATCATCATCATCATCAGCAGCATCAGCATCAGCGTCATCATCATCATCATCATCATGCAGCAGCACCATCATCATCAGCATCAGCGTCATCATCATGATCAGCATCGTCATCACCACCATCATCATCATCATCATCATCGTCATCATCATCATCATCATCATCATCACCATCGTCATATCATCTTCGTTATCATCATCCCACATGTGTGATCTGACAAAATCCTGACGTCAGGCCTGAAACCTGCACTAGCGCTACCGACCGTTACCGAAAATTGTTCTGTCGCGACCGAAAAACGTTACCGACCATTACTGGTCGCGACCAGTAACGGTTACCGAAAAATTCGGTCGCGGCGGAAAGACCGGTAACGCTTTTCGCTACCGAAAAAAATCGGTCGCGCATGATCTGGGTATCCCTTGGCATCTAGCCGGTACCGCGCCTCCCGGCTTCTCAACGTTTTCGCGGAGTCTCCGAAGGCCCCAAGGAATCCGGGAATTGTGGATTTGGGTTAGACTTTCATCCATTCAGGACTCAGGACAGTATGCCCGGGCCCAGGCATACTGTCCAGGCCATCCAATGCTCCACAGTCGCTGTGCGTCTGCAGTGGGGACCGTGTTTAGTCTGAGCGTGGCCTGGGCGTGTGCATTGGTCAAAGCACCACAGAAGAGGTGGCGCTGCCACTCCGGCTGACCAGCCGCGCACGCCGCCGCCCATCTCCCTTTCTGCTGTCATCACGGATGCCATGGGCAGTCCTGATGTCCATGCCCCACAATCGCAGTGCATCTGCAGTGGGGACCGTGTTTAATCCGAGCGTGGCCCAGGCGTGTGAATTGGTCAAAGCACCACCGAACAAGGGGCGCTGCCATTCTGGCTGACCGGCCGCGCCCGCCGTTTTGTTCCCTTCTGCTGTCATCGTGGATGCCATGCGCAGTTCTCATATTGATGTCCCACAGTCGCAGTGCATCTGCAGTGGGGACCGTGTTTAGTCCGAGCGTGGCCTGGGCGTATGCATTGGTCAAAGCACCACAGAAGAGGTGGCGCTGCCATTCTGGCTGACCAGCCGCGCCCGCCGCCGCGCATCTCTTTTTCTCCATGCCGATGCCGTGAAGACCGTTTCTCATCATGCCCTGGCGATAACGGGCGTGACCGAGGGGGGGGACGGGGTGGGGTGGGGTGGGGTGAGCCTTGGGACAAACCCGAAAACACGGGCGAGCAAATAGCCCCCCAGGGATGGCGATCGCAGCCCCCCAGGGATGGCGAGGTCAAATTTGGGTCCGCCCGTGGCGTCACTGTGCTGGGCCCCCCAGCAGGCCTCGAAAGTGGCGACAGTTTCACAGATCACAGCCCCCCAGGGATGGCGAGGTCTAATTTGGGTCCGCGCGTGGCGTCACTGTGCTGGGCCCCCCAGCAGGCCTCGAAAGTGGCGACAGTTTCACGGATCGCAGCCCCCCAGGGATGGCGAGGTTTAATTTGGGTCCGCGCGTGGCGTCACTGTGCTGGCCCCCCAGCAGGCTTCGAAAGTGGCGACAGCTTCACAGATCGCAGCCCCCCAGGGGTGGCGAGGTCTAATTTGGGTCCGCGCGTGGCGTCACTGTGCTGGTCCCCCAGCAGGCCTCGAAAGTGGCGACAGTTTCACAGATCGCAGCCCCCCGCAGGCAAGACAGGAGGAGGCAAGAGGGAGGCGGGACGGGAAGGAGTGGAGACCACACTGCTCTATTCAAAACGAATACCCAACCAAGGAGGATTGGGAAAAAATGTCCGAAGGGTTTCCACAATGGCTCGGGGAACACGCTGTCCGAGAGCTTGACCGAGCTCTGGCAGGGGGTGGCGATGATTCGCCGTAGGCGTCTTCCATCCGCCGCACCCCTTGTGAGCGTATTAGTGTTTCTCACAGTGGCGTTTGACAGATGCGCGAACGCCTCACCTTATCTATCCTATCCGTCTAAGCCCTAATTCCTCCACTGTGCCAGGGGTCTCCGCGCGGCTGGCCTGCGTTTCCAACGGCTGCACGTTGATTGACCGCGCGTTGTCAGCAGAGTTAGAAGACGGCTGATCTTGATTTGATCGGGAACTTTGACTTAGCGTGTCGTTAGCTGGTCTCGCCCGCCCTCCTTCGCTGTGCCGGAGTTCCGTGCGGCCGGCTGGCATTTTTCAGCGGCTGCGCGTTGACGGACCGGGTGGTGCCAGCAGAGTTAGAAGAAGGCTGATTTTAAAGAAATGTTTGATGGACCGTGTGGCATGCAAACAACCCGCCCCCCCCCCCCAAAAAAAAATTGACGCCTCTCCAGAGCGCTTCAAGAGGCCGAAATCGTCAATTTTACGAAGGTGTTCGAACGATTTTGGCATTCCAGCTTTTTCGGTTTTTTCGGCTGTCTGGGCCGGGTCTGGGCCGGGTCCGGGCCGGGTCCGGGCCGGGTTTGGGCCGGGTCCAGGCCGGGTCCGGGTCCGGGCCGGGTCCGGGCCGGGTCCGGGCCGGGTCCGGGTCTGGGTCCGGGCCGGGTCCGGGCCGGGTCCGGGCCGGGTCCGGGCCGGGTCCGGGCCGGGTCCGGGCTGGGGCCGGGTCTGGGTTTGGGCCGGGTCGGGGCCGGGTCCGGGCCGGGTCGCTGGGTGGGCGCCGGGTCGGGGAAGCCTTGTCAACACCTTTCTGAGTCGATCCGTATAGTAAGGATGGGCATCTTCCCCAAGGGTACCCTTGCATCCTCACCTCCTTGGCCCATCCTTGGCCACTTTCGTTGGTCGCGCCCCGCTCGTAAAGCTTCGAAACGGCCTTCCAAGGCCCTTGCATCCTTATCGTGCATCCTTCTGATACGGGCCGACCGCATTTCAGGAAGAACCTCCTGGGAATGTTGAGGGGCCCGGGGGTCCTGAACGCAGGTAGCCACGCTCCCCTTCTCGTAGCACCTCTGGCTCTGGCGGCCCTGCGCCGGGAGGCCCCTGAGGGCCCTCGTCTCCTCCAGGACTCCGTGGGGCTCTGGGTCTGTGTGGGGCACCACGGTGGTAAGACAGCTCGGGTTCCCATATGCTTGACGGTCTGTGCTGAGCTCCACACTTCCAAACTTCATCAAGCAAGCTGGGCGAGTACAGCACTGCAGTGAATCTATCTGGCAGCCACTGGTCGCTGCTGAGGGTGGAGCCGAGCAATCTGCTGATTGACTGCCGCCTTCCTTTGCGACGCGAACGGGCAGAATGGGCATCGATGCAGGACAGGAACAGGTGCTGGCCGCAGAGAAAGATTTGGTGGCACACCGATGCGAGCAGCATGCTGAACAACTCCTGCGTCCTGTACCCTCACAACCCTGCGTCCTTCCAAAGCACCGTTTCTGGTACGTTGGCTTTGGGAACCCGTCAAACCCATGCAGATTTTTAGGCCGACTGTGCGCGGCGCGAAAGCGAGAGCCACATTTTGAAAACGAACCGCCCTCAATAGGTGAAACTCATGCAGAGTTTTATGAAGAATATGTGCGGCGCTGAGGCGAGAGCCACATGTTGAAAACCAACCGCCCTCAATCCGTGAAGCCCTTGCAGAGTTTTGAAACGAATGTGCAACGAATGTGCTCCGCGCGAAGTCGGGAGCCACATTTTGAAAGCCACCGCCCTCAATCCGTGCAGCTCTTGCACATGGTTAGACGAGTGTGCGCGGCGATAAGGCGAAAGCCACATTTTGAAAGCGCCCCGCCCTCAATCCGTGAAGCTTGTGCGCGGCGCTAAGGTGAGAGACGCATTTTGGAAGCGAATCGCTCTCCATCTGTGGAGGTGTTGCCAATGGTTAAACTTCAGGGTGATACATGGTGAGGAGGTCTCAGGCTAGACGCCCGGCCTGCCCTTTTGACCGGCGTCGGGGTGCGACAGGGAGGAATTAGTTATCAGGAAAAGATACCCAGGTGAAGGTGCAGTGGGAGGAGGAGGAAGAGGGAAAGAAGGGGGAGGAGGAGGAGGAGAAGGAGGAGGAGGAGGAAGAAGAAGAAGAAGAAGAAGAGTAGGAGGCGAAGGAGGAGGAGGAGGAGGAGGAGGAGGAGGAGGAGGAGGGGAGGAGGAGGGGGGAGGAGGAGAAGGAGGAGGGGAGGAGGAGGAGCAGGAAAGAGGAGGAGGGGGAGGAGGAGGAGGAGCAGGAGAAGGAGGAGGAGGAGGAGGAGGAGGAGGGGGAGGAGGAGGAGGAGGAAGAGGAGAGACGGTGGAGTAGGAGAGGAGGAGTAGGAGGAGGAGGAGGAGGAGGAGGAGGAGGAGAGGAGGAGGGAGGAGGAGGAGGAGGAGGAGGAGGAGTGGAAGATGAGGAAGGAGGAGGGGGGGGGGAGGAGGGGGGGAGGGCATGAGGAGGAGGAAGAGGAGGCTGGGGGGGAGTGGGCGCGCAGGAGCAGTGCGTGACGGACCTGTTGTGGAGCGACCCCTCGGACAGCGACGCGGCGAGCGCCCTCCTCCCCTGCTGGGGGGCGGCCCGGTCTGCCGCTTCGGGCCTTGAATTCGGCACACCCGCAATGGGTATGGTATTGGGCCGACTCGTCATCGAAGGCTCAAATTGCTGTTTTCAGAGTGCGCCGATTTTTTCTTGCCTCCCAGATTGGGTCGGAGTATATGGGGTCGGAGGATCACGCCGCAGACGAATCGGCGAAGCGGGTCGATGTGGAGCGGCGGAGAGGATAATTAGGCGACCTTTCTGCGTGGGGAAGACGCCGTCGTCGTCGTCGTCGTCGTCGTCGTCCGAGGGTCGGAGGATCGGGCCGCATCGCCGATGCATCGGCGCTGCGCGCTGCGGCTCGGTGCGGGGGGCGATTTTTTCCACGCCGACGTCGCCGATGCATCGCCGATGTATCGCCGACGTCGCTAATATATCGGCGATGCATCGCTGATGCATCGCCGATGCGGGGCGATCCTCCTACCCCACTCCCAGGCATGCGACGTCTTGATTTCTTCAAGTCTCTTCCCGGGGCCGCTTCGTCATCCCGAGTCGTTTTCTGACGGTCTCAGGGCCCAGCGAGGGCCCCCAGAGGCCGAAGGCCAAAATCCAGCCGTCCTGATTCTTTCACGATGCGGGCATGTCTGGCTCTACACATCCGGGAGGCCTCTCTCTTGTTTGCCATCAGGGATGGATGCCTTTTAAAAGTGTGTGCAGTAGGTTCGCGTGGTATCGACCGGCGGCGACTCCGCCGCCAGCGTTCAATGTGGGACGCCGTTGGCGACCCAGAATCGGTCGATGTCGAACGATTAGACGTTTCGGAAACGGCCGATCGGTCAGGCTTGAGCGATCCCCGCGGTGTCAGCAACCAGCGCCGAAGTCGGCACGACATGGACCTGCCGCACTGAAGAAATAGGCACGGTGCCCACCAGCAATTATTGTCTAGCACCGACAGCGGCTGCTGTTGGACACGCGAGCTTTTGTCTCAAACGGACAACGCCCGCGGTGAAACAGACAGCGGACCATGTTGAACATGTACAGGAACTGCTGTTGGTCTTCGTTCCCCTTTCTTTCCGTACCCATTTCGATCTTACTGACAGACGTGCTCGCGTCGTGAAACAAGTCTCGACGGGATAATTGTTCCCGCTTTCTGCTTCCTAGGGCCCTCGCCGGGCCCCAGGACCGTCAGAAAACGACCGGGGATGAACAACCGAGGACATGCATTGTGGATTAGGCGGTTTGTTGGTCCCTTTCTTCACTCTTCTTTACTTTTGTCTTCTCTCTGTCTTCTGTTCGTGTGTGTGTGTGTGGTGTGTGTGTGTGTGTGTGTGTGTGTGTGTGTGTGTGTGTGTGTGTGTGTGTGTGGGGGGGCGGTGCGTGTGTGTCTGTGTGTGTGTGTGTTTGTGTGTGGGATTTGTCCTTTCGCCCTTCCCCCCTAACAAAAACGGGGGGGGAGAAAACATCCCGCCCATACACAAACACGCACACACCACCACCTCCTCTCTCTTCTCGTCCCCACTCCTGGGGATTCTCTTCCCCCCAGTCAGTCGCCCCCTCCAAAAAACGAGGCGGACGATCAGATGTTTTCCCCACCATCCTGTGGTGTTGGGTCCTCGTCTTGAAGAGACAGTGCCCAACGTTCCTCCTCTACTCCTCCTCTCCCTCCTCCCTTCTTCTTCTTCTTCTTCTTCTTCTTCTTCGTCATCATAGTCATACTCATCATCGGCAGCAGCATCATCCCCATCATCACATCATCATCAGCAGCAGCATCATCATCATCATCATCACTACCACCATCACCATCATCATCACCATCATCATCATCATCACCGCCATCTTCATCATCACCATCACCACCAGCACCACCATCGACACGATCATCATCTTGCTCACCATCATCATCATACTACGCACGATCATCACCAGCATCATCAGCATCATAATTATCAGCATCACCATCATCATCAGCATTATCATCACCATCATCATCACCACCATCATCATCATCAGCATCATCATCATCGCCATCACTGTCATCATAATCATCATCATCACCATCATAATCATCATCACCATCATCATCACCACCATCATCGCCATCACCATCACCATCACCATCATAATCATAAGCATCGTCATCGTCCTCATCATCAGCAACATCATCTTCACCATCATCATCATACTCATAATCATCATGAGCAGCAGCATCATCATCACCAGCACCCTTATCATCATCACCATCACCGTCATCAGCATCGTCATCGTCATCATCACCATAATCATAATCATATTCATCATTATCATGTGCAGCATCATCACCGCCATCATCCTCCTCTTCCTCCTCTCCTTCCTCCTCCTCCTCCTCGTCATCATCATCATCATCATCATCATCATCATCATCATTATCATCATCGTCATCATCATCATCATCATCATCATCATCATCATCATCATCATCATCATCATCATCATTCCCCTCGCCCTCACACTTTGTGTGTAACCATAGGAGGTCCACCGAAGGCCCCAGTGGCAGGGTTCGCATGGCGGCACCGCCCCATTTCGGCACCCTCTCACGATTCGTGGCCAGCCACAGAGGGAGCTCCATCGAAGGCCCCAGTGGCAGGTTCGCCGGTTCGCGTGGCGGCCCCGCCCCATTCTGACACATCTTTCACGCGTATCGTGGCCCCATAGGAGCTCCACCGAAGGCCCCTGTGGCAGGGTTCGCATGGCGGCCCCGCCCCATTTCGGCATATCCCTCACACGTGTCGCGGCCCCAAAGGGAGCTCCACCGAAGGCCCCCTTTCGCATGCGCCCGCCGCGCCCATTCCGGCACACCCGTTGTGCGCTTCGTGGCCTCTATAGGTGGCTCCACCTAAGACGATATTCACAACTGCGTTACTCACAACTGCAGATGGTTGTGTCCTTCGCCAGGCTAATTTGTTTTTTTTTTCGGGGGGCGAAACATCCCGCCCACACACACACACGCACACACCACCACCTCCTCTCTCTCCTCCCCACTCCCTCTACCACCTCACCCTCCCTCTACCACCCCCCCCTCCTCGTCCTCCTCCCTCCTCCAACCTCTTCGCTCTGCCACCCCCCTTCCCCTCTCTACTCCAGGGTGCTCACATTGTTACCACATGGATCCTTTCTGAGGGGATTGTTCCTAACGACATCCTCATTAAGGATTCCTCACTCAATCGGTTCTTACTCAGGATTCCTTGCTAAAGGCATCCTTACTGAATAATGCTTCCCCAAAACATTCTCGCTAAGGACTCCTCACAAAAATGTGTCCCTCCGTAGGTCCCCTTGATTCAGGCATCCTTACGAATGAGTCTTTACCAAGGGCAGCGCACTCAACGGAATACTTACTAAGGGCCTCTTGCTACAAGCATCCGTACCAAAGATCTCTAGCAATGGCCCCAGTGGAGGCCTTCGCATGGCGTCCCATATGGGTTTCGTTGGCTGGGCCCTGCGTGAATGTGAAGGGGGGAGGGGGAGGGCGAAGAGAGAGAGAGAGAGAGAAAGAGAGAGCAATCATTTTCTCCTGTCACTTCCCCCCTATGCGTTCTGGGTTGTGTGAGAGAGCAACCTGACCACCCTCACATTTCTTCCTGGCTAAGGGCTCCTTACGAAAGGATTCCTTCCTCCGGATTCCTTACCGGAGGCGTCCTGCATAAGGAGCCCGTACTAAAGTAAGTGACACGAATTCCTTATTACATTTTCATTTGCCGTGGGGATTTTTATTGCAGGCATCCTCGCTGAAGGAGGCATTACTAACAACACATTGAACACACGCAGCACTACGTAGCCTTTACTAAAGGCATCCTTACTCAAATAATCCCTTCTAAAGCAACCAACTATAGCGACCGCTAACCATAGAGGTCCTTACTGGGGGGATCAGTACTACAGGCACCCTCACTAAGGATCCCTCGCTAAAGAGATCCTCTGCTAGGGCTTCGTGGTAAAGGCTCCCGTTCAAACGAATGCGTCGTGCATGCGTCCACACGATGGGCTTCCAGACGAAATATATCTGTACAGAGGACCCGTCGGTTAAGCAAAGACAGCATTATTGCGCGCATTGAGCTGAAGGCACCCGTATTGAGGATTTTTTTCTGCTAAGATGGGTCAGCAGTAAGGAACCGTTGCCACAAGGACCTTTACTGGGGGAATCTTCACAAAAGGCATCCACACGAAGGGCGCCACACTGCACGCATCCTTACTGCGGGCCCCACTACTGCAGGTAGCCTTTCTAAGTCACCTGTGTCAGCGGACGCACAAGCAAGCACGAGCAATGAATCCTCATTGCAGGGATCCTTTCTGAGGGGATCCTTGCAAGAGACGCCCCCACTAAGGATTCCTCACTACAGTCACTACAGGGGTCTGTACAGAGGGCCCCTTGCTGAAGGCATCTTTACCGACAAGTGATTACCAACGGCACCCGCATTCAGGACCCCTCGCTAAAGAGAACCTCATTCAGGGTCCCTTGATTCAGACAGCCTTACACATCCATATGTACTACAGAAATCCTTCCACAGGAGCCCTTACTCAAAGGCATGGTCCCTACGGGCCCTTGTTGCAGGCATCCGTATTGAGGCGTTCTGGCAACGTTCGCATGGCGTCCCATCGGGGGTTCATTGGTTGGGCTTTGCTTGATTGTGAAAAGGGAAGACGGGAGCGAGAGAGAGATAGAGAGAGAGAGAGAGAAAGAAATAACGAGAAAGAGAGAGAGAGATAGAGAGAGAGAGAGAAAGCGAGCGAGCGAGCGAGCGAGGGGGAGAGAGAGAGAGAGAGAGAGAGAGCGAGAGAGAGAGAGAGAGAGAGAGAGAGAGAACGCGAGAGAGAGGGATAAAGAAAGAAACCGCACATTTCCTCCTGTCACGCCCCTCTCTGTGTTGTGGGATATGAAAGGGAAACGCCAGGCCTCCCAACCATTTCTTCCTGCCGAAGAGCTCCT